CCGCTTAACTAAACAAAAGGCCCTTTTCAGGGCCACACACTTCCACTAATGGCTGCTTTCCTTTATCTCTATCAAATTATACTATGAATATGTAAGTTTCACGTCATCCCAGGCCTAATGAATATATAGAAATTAAAGAGTTTGCCGTTTATACAAATACTTTTTCAAAACAGTGCACTTTAGAATATATGGAAGTGCTTTTCAAAAAGTTCTGGTATTGGTAGTATCTATTTCAGTATCGATCTACACATCACTATTAGCTACACTGCACTTTATAAAAGTGTAAATTTTTAATGCACATATATTAATCTTTTTTATAGCTCAAAACATTTCAAGGTTTCAATACTGATTAATTTTATTTGAATAAAACACTTTTAGTGGTGATAGATACAACACCAAACTCTTACCTACGTCTGCTCCAGATGGTGTGAATATAGCCTATCGTTTAGAACAATTTTTAATCTGTATACTTCAGTTATTTTTTTCCTTTTTTAAAATAAGTTTGAAATTATTCACCTTTTATTTTCATAATGGAACAAAAGTTTAATTCATCTTTTGTAGTGGTGGGGGTCGCACTTTTTTTTTTAAACTGTTACTTAACTTTATAATTCTGGTCAGACAAAAACAATTTTTTTCAGTTATACTAAACCACTAAAAGCTATGTTTTATGTAACTATGTTTAGTCTATTACTTTAAACATCTACATGAGTATTTAAACCCCCTATATTATAATTGTATCAATATTTGCGTGCTGGTCCAATACCAGTTTTACTTAAGATTCACAATTAAAATAATGCAACAAAAATACAAAAAAATAATAATAATAAAACCAACAAGAACACAAAGTTAATCTTAATAAATCAAATTTTACTAATTTTAATTTTGACAAGTTAAGTCACTCCTACAACTGTTTAAAGATGTCCTATCACAAGCACTAAAATGTGTTCAACACAAAGTTACATTAAGAAAAATACTATGTGTATAAATACTGTGACTGATGAAAACTGTCAGAGGTTTGGAGACAAAAATAAAACTTAAAGAAATCTTTCCTGGTTTTTGTAGAATATTTAGTGGATTCTATTTTTTTAATATTTATTGATTTGTGATATATTCTGTTGAAATTTTAGTGATATTTGAAAATGTTTCACAAATAAAATGGTCAATAATTAAACGTGTGTGTGTGTGTGTGTGTGTGGCTAACCGTTTGAAAAAGCCGCTGAATGAGAAATCAGGCCCCGCCCACTATTGGAAGCCTCTCACTGATTGGTGCGCAACCAAATCGACCCGCGCGCTCTCCGATTTAAGGAAACTCCGACTGGAGAGGGCATTTCATTTCAGTCTGTCTAAAGAAAGCTGAACTCTAACAATGAGCGGAAGAGGCAAAACCGGCGGAAAGGCCAGAGCCAAGGCAAAGACCCGGTCCTCCCGTGCCGGACTCCAGTTCCCGGTGGGCCGTGTCCACAGGCTGCTGCGCAAAGGCAACTACGCTCAGCGCGTCGGTGCCGGAGCCCCGGTGTACCTGGCCGCCGTGCTGGAGTACCTGACCGCTGAGATCCTGGAGCTGGCCGGVAACGCTGCCCGCGACAACAAGAAGACCAGGATCATCCCCCGTCACCTGCAGCTGGCTGTCCGCAACGACGAGGAGCTSAACAAGCTGCTGGGAGGAGTGACCATCGCTCAGGGCGGAGTGCTGCCCAACATCCAGGCCGTCCTGCTGCCCAAGAAGACCGAGAAGCCCGCCAAGAAGTAAACTGATACCCGCTGACCACCACAACACAAAGGCTCTTTTAAGAGCCACACATCCAGTCTGTAAAGAGCTTCATCCTGGCGTTATTTGTATAAATACACGTAATTCATGTCCAAGGACCTGCAGAGTGACATTAAGTGCAGTCCACAATAGTCGTTATAGATTTGAATTACATGAACTGAGGAAATATTGTTCAAAATGTAGGATTTGTAAATTAGTGACACATCAAGTTCACTTGTTACTTGTGATTTGTATATTTTTCTTGTATATAGAGTTATTTAAAATGAATTGAATAAATTAAATGTGCAAAAGCTCATATCCTTTACATTTCTTTTACAGCTTTAAGGAGTTGGCAGAGTCTCCGTCCTCTCCATCCACAGTTGTCTAAACATACATCTAAGTTGGTATTTTAAGTGATTTAATTCACAATTGCTCGTTTTTCACCATAGAACGAATTGAGTCATGTTCATAATTCATTCCTTGGATCATTGTTCATAAAAATGTCCCAAAACCTAATTATTTTGTAAGTGTTTGAGTGTCAAACTGTAGCTGAGCTATTGACTATGGGTGGGCGTATTTATACCAGTATCGATCCCATATTTATTTTATCTGATCAATAAAATTCCTCATATCATCCACCAGCAACAAAGTGTCATTTTGGCGTCAAGGTAGATTTGTTGTCCTGCATATTTCTGAACATTTGATTAGTTCACTTTGTGTTAAAGGGTTTGTTTTTTAATATTTGACATATGTAGCTTACACTTCAAGCTGTAGCTCCTAAATCCTTTAAATGAGAAAAGAACCTGCCATGTTTTGAAAAAGGAGCTTTAATCCTGCCCAGGTGAAAAAATAAACTATACTAAATCTAAGTATACTTGAAGCCGCAATAATCATCAGTATATTTAAAGTATGCTATTTTGGAACAACTAGTTGAATACTAAATGTTTTTGTTGTACCAAAGCACAATTCTAATTGTATTAAGTATACTTTTTTAATTATTGAAATGGAACAATTTCAAGTATACTAAGTTCACTTCAACATTTCACGTTTATAAGCATTAATCTTTTAATATAGTAGTATAATTAATTATAGTAAACCTTTGGTTTATTATTAGTAATTTTGCTATTCAATTTTTACGTGTGGTCCATTTTGGAGCCCATTTAAAGGTATACTGGATGGGATATAAAAGGACTTTTCTATACATTAAACACACAGAACTTCGCTCTTTACAGACTAGGTGGGTGGCTCTTAAAAGAGCCGTTGTGTTTGTTGGTGGAGCAGGTTTACTTGGAGCTCGTGTACTTGGTGACAGCCTTGGTTCCCTCAGACACAGCGTGCTTGGCCAACTCTCCGGGCAGCAGGAGGCGCACGGCGGTCTGGATCTCCCTGGAGGTGATGGTGGACCTCTTGTTGTAGTGAGCCAGGCGGGAGGCCTCGGAGGCGATGCGCTCGAAGATGTCGTTGACGAACGAGTTCATGATGCTCATGGCCTTGGACGAGATGCCGGTGTCAGGGTGAACCTGCTTCAGCACTTTGTACACGTAGATGGCGTAGCTCTCCTTCCTGGTCTTCCTCTTCTTCTTGCCTCCTTTGCCGGCGGTCTTGGTCACGGCTTTCTTCGAGCCCTTCTTGGGCGCAGACTTGGCGGGTTCAGGCATGGTTTCTGTCGGGAGTTCACTACTACGAGAATACCGATGAAGCGGGGCACACTCATCTTATACACACTGTAGGCTAATATCACTGTGCTGTAACCTGGCTGTGATTGGCTGAGCCGCTCAGCTGCCTCAGCTCTTCACTGATCTGCTCACTGAAATGTTGGTCCCGCACCTCTACCAACGATGCATTCAACTTTTGTTCCATTATGAAAATAAAAGAAAAAGGTGAATAACTACAAACTTATTTTAAAAAAAGGAAAAAAAATAACTGAAGTATACGGATTAAAAATTGTTCTTGTTTTGATGATTTTGGCAAAAAAATAAAGAATGGACCAGGCTGGGAGTTTTTAAAAGCCTCAGGAATCTTTTGCAGGTGTTTATAGCTAATTAGTTGATTCAGATGATTAGGTTAAGAAGTTGTTTAGAGAACATGTTCATGATATGCAAATTTTTTGAGATGGGGATTTTTGGTTTTTCTTTACTTTTTTGCCAAAATGATCAATATTAAAAACAATAAAAGGCTTGAACTACTTCAGTTGGTGTGCAATGAATCTAAAATATATGAAAATTTATCAGTACATCACAGAAAATATTGAACTTTATCACAATATGCTAATTTTTTAGAGAAGGACCTGTATGCGTGGCAGATCATTTTAACATAAAATCTGGTTCATCTGAGTGTCTGTAATTAAACTCTAGATGAAGGTCCCCCAAACAACCAGCTCTGGCCAAGGACCTTCTTGCAAACCCACAAACAATGGTAGAAAAATTTACAAAGTAATAACTTTTAGAATATTTTTCATTATTCAAAAATTATATTCCTTTAGAATAGGAATTGTGCTACACATGAGGTTAGGGTTAGAAAGAGTTTTAAATGAAATAAACTTCTTCCATGTTTTATTTATAAAGCAGTTATTTGAAAAACGCATTTTTTTTAGATTTACCAGACACATCATGTTACATCAGTATGGGATCAGTATCAGCGATACCAGCGAAATTTTATTTAGTATCAGTAAAAGTAAAATTGTTAGTATAGAACATCCGTAGTAGGAAAATATGTAAATTCAATGAAAAATGTATTTCACTGAATGTAATAACATGTCTGAAGTATGCATTTTGAAAAGCACTTCCATTTTGATTATAATCCTAAAAAGTGCAGTTTTGAAAATATTTGTATAAACTGCAAAGTACTTAGACTTCTATATGTTCTTTAGACGTGGGATGATAGGAAAGTTCATTTATTCATATTACAATTTGATAGAACTAAAGGAAAGCAGCCATTAGTGGAYGTGTGTGGCCCTGAAAAGGGCCTTTTGTTTAGTTAAGCGGGTTGAAGTTTAACCTCCGAAGCCGTACAGAGTACGACCCTGTCTCTTGAGAGCGTAGACCACATCCATGGCGGTGACGGTCTTCCTCTTGGCATGCTCGGTGTAGGTGACGGCATCACGGATGACATTCTCCAGGAAGACCTTCAACACACCACGGGTCTCCTCGTAGATCAGACCGGAGATACGCTTGACTCCACCGCGGCGAGCCAGACGACGGATGGCGGGCTTGGTGATYCCCTGGATGTTATCACGGAGGACTTTACGGTGACGCTTAGCGCCTCCTTTCCCCAGACCTTTACCTCCTTTTCCTCTTCCAGACATAATGAAAGTTATCAGAGCAACTTGTGAACGTGTGAACCCGGACTCACTGATGTTTATGTCAGAACAGAGGACGTGTTTGAGGACAGGGGAGGAGCTTCTTCTTCCCTGATGACTCATAAATAACTTTGTTCTTTTTGGCGCCGCCGAGTGTGTGTGTGTGTGTGTCTTTCTCTCTTTTAGCAAAATATCTCATGATCCACTGAACGTATTGTCATCAAACTTTCACATATTAATAACTGCATGAATCTCTGAAACTGATTAACTTTTGGATTTAATCCAGTTCAAAATGACGCCACAGCAAAGCATCTTGTCAAACATAAACATGTCTCATATATTAGTACATATTACAGATAGTGAGCTAAAAGGTGTTTAGCATTGGAGAACAACACATTCTGAACCTGAACAGTTTGTACACAATTAGTCAACATTTTGACACTGGCTTTTGGAATAGACTGAATGTTTGCTAAAAATTTCCTCAACTTTGCTAACAAGACCAAAACCTGTACGAGATTAAAACCAATCATTAACATGGTAACTGCTCATCTCTCTTGAGTGAATTAAATATTGGTTAAAAAAAGATGTGGAAGGTTCGACAGAGAGAACAACTCAAAACAATGTGGGGGCAACACTTAGGTGTCACAAATATGTATTTGGTGTCTTAAAAATACAAAAAAAAGCTTTGTGAACTTTTGTCTCTTTTTTCATTAAGACTGTGAGGTTTTGTCTTGTGAGCATTTGTTTGTACACGCAGGGCCTCAGGTCAGCTGATCAGAGGGGTCACACATCTTTGTGTTGCTGCCCTCTAGATCCCTCCAATGAGCCATTTATTTTATCCTATTTCTAATGTGCATGTTATCTTTGAAACAATGAATCCAAAAGAAACAATTCTTAAGAATATACAGTTTATTAGCTGCTGCAGCAGAGACAGACACAAACCTCTCATTACATAGAGGTAATTTAACATTAAACATGATGAAAACTAAGCTAGTAAACTCCTCTGATAATGTCCAGCTTTTAGTCAAACTTTATTCTTTAAACAGAAAAATAAGTCATAATTTCCGCCACAGGACAGTTCAGGAGATCCATCAGCTAGCTTAGCTTCATGAGCTATAACTTAAATACAGTGATGACATTAAATCAATCACTGAGTTGTTTTTAATCAATGAAACTCTGTTTAAATAAACGAYGACAAAGTRCACTCTGATTATATTTATTTCTGTAGAAAAGTAAACTGTTCCATTCAAGTCAGTGATAAATTGTCACTTTTATTTCATTATCTCTGCCATAGAAACATGATGCAACAAATTAAAATGAAGAATAATCTCTAAAATTATAATTGAGTGTTTATTTAAATGGGTAAAAATATGTTTTTTAAAATACACCAGAATGAAGGGAACTGAATCAGGTGAATGTTTTATCCTTTATGTAAATAATTTATTTTGAATAAAAATAAAATATAAAGTATTTTAAGTTGAGCATGTGATTAAAGTATAAATTATTTCACCACAGCAGAAACATCTACTTTGTAAGTAAATGTAGTTGAAGTGTGAATAAGAATGAAGTTGTAGGTGACTGGTATTCTTGACAATTAATTTTCAAAATGTATTTTGATAGTTTAATGCTCATTGTTGTTTCTCCTTAATATGAAAGGATTATATGATGACGAGTAGGAGCAGCTAGTCCAGCTCTGCATCTACACATACAGCAATTTACAAGAGAAAAATGAAGTCATGGTTGTGAAAATTGTAACTAACTCAACAGTCATGAATTAATTGATTTTTATTAATAAAATATGAAAAAAAATTATGTCTAAGTGTAAATAAGAAGCCAGTCTTTAGTGCAGCTGTTTGTGGCTCTTAAAAGAGCCGTTGTGGTTGTTGTGAACAGGGCCGTTTTAAGCTCGCTCTCCACGGATCCTGCGGGCCAGCTGGATATCTTTGGGCATGATGGTGACCCTCTTGGCGTGGATGGCGCACAGGTTGGTGTCCTCGAACAGACCCACCAGGTAAGCCTCGCTGGCCTCCTGCAGAGCCATGACGGCCGAGCTCTGGAAGCGCAGGTCGGTCTTGAAGTCCTGAGCGATCTCTCGGACCAGGCGCTGGAAGGGCAGCTTGCGGATCAGCAGCTCCGTGGATTTCTGGTAGCGACGGATCTCTCTCAGAGCCACGGTACCGGGTCTGTAACGGTGAGGCTTCTTCACGCCGCCGGTGGCCGGGGCGCTCTTACGGGCGGCCTTGGTGGCCAGCTGCTTCCTGGGGGCTTTGCCTCCGGTGGATTTACGGGCGGTCTGCTTGGTTCTTGCCATGTTTCTGWGTGAGCGGCAGAAAAYCGAGTTGGAGTCCCGACGAGCCGCGCTGCTCTTTTAAACTCTGAGCTACTGCTGCGACACCGTGACGCACCAGCTCAGCTTCAGCTCCTGGTTGGTTCAGCCTGTTCCTGGAGCGAAGCTCCGCCCAGAAGTTCGCTGCTTATTGGACGAAACGTGGGCTCGAGAGCCCGCGGACATTCAAAGAGGACCGCGCGCAGCTCCGTCCTCTTCTGATTGGTCAGTCGCTGTGCAGAGAAATTAGGAGGGAAGTAGACAAGAAGTAAACAAAGACCCGCTGACAACAACAACACAAAGGCTGTTTTAAGAGCCACACATCCACTGTGTGAAGAGCTTCATCCTAATTACTGTTATTACAGCTAGTGTCRCYATTAGACTCTTAATAAATCAGTAGATTTGATCATTGGTAATAAACTTTTTACAGGTTTTTGTATATTTGAAAAGCAAATACACACTCAAATTAAATATATTGGAAAAGCTTGTGCATTCATGTGTACCTAAAATCACAAMAAGATATTTGTAAATTATTTTATCATTTAGTCTACCAATTTTGTAAATATAGGAAGTTGTCATTTTCCATTTTCCAGTAGAAAATGCAGCCATGTTTCAGGTAAATAATCCACAGCCTTTAGCAGATGTAATGTGGTTAAATTGGACTTGTTATTAGACAAAGTGATCAATCAGTACAAACTGTTTTAATATTGTAAAAAAGGACAATATGTACAATTAATTTATAAATATAATTGCGCTATAAACATGGTCCCATCATCCCTTCATTGTTACACAAGTGTAAATATATAGATATAATACAAACATTTATATTTTTAAAAAATGATAGTTTGACTTGTTTTGTTGTAAAAAGGAAAGAGCAGTTTAGAGGATGTGGTGGCTCTTAAAAGAGCCTTTGAGGTCTGTAAAGCTTCATGTTTACTTCTTCTTAGGAGCTGCCTTCTTGGCTTTAGGTTTGGCTGCCTTCTTAGCCGGAGACTTCTTGGCAGCTGGAGCCTTCTTCACCACCTTCTTGGGGCTCTTGGTGGTCTTCTTGGGGCTTTTGGCTGCRTTCTTGGCCGCTGCCGCGGGCTTCTTGGCCTTCTTGGGGGACTTCTTAGCGGCCGCGGGCTTCTTTGCTGCTGCCGCCGCCTTCTTGGGCTTCTTGGCCGCTGCGGGTTTCTTGGCGGCGGGCTTCTTGGCTTTAGGAGCGGGTTTCTTGGCGGCGGGCTTCTTGGCCTTGGTGTCGGCCTGCTTGTTCATCTTGAAGGACCCGGACGCGCCGATCCCTTTGGTCTGGACCAGGGTCCCCTTGGTCACCAGGCTCTTGATGGCGGTCTTGACGCGGGCCTTGTTCTTGTCCACATCGTAGCCTCCGGCGGCCAGAGTCTTCTTGAGGGCGGCAGCGGACACGCCGCTGCGCTCCTTGGAAGCGGCCACAGCCTTCACGATCAGCTCGGACACGCTGGGACCGACCTTCTTCAGCTTCGTGCTCTTCTTCTTGGCTGCTTTGGCCGGAGCGGGAGCCGGAGCTGGAGCTACTTCTGCCATTTTCCTCTTCTTCTCTTCGTTTGCCTCTATAAAACACTGAGCGAGTCAGACT